ATCAATCGTATTTGACTTCTTTCAAGGAATGGCCCAAGCCGCTCGTCGGATTCCGATTGCAGGGCGACTACAAGGTTTCTGCGTTGGTCCTTGTTGCTAAGCCTTAGGTTATTCGATACCCGACAGCCACTTAGCCCTCTCAAGACCAACCCCGACTTAGGGCTAGCCGTCTTACAGAAATCCCTATACTTATTCCTGATTAGCCAGTCCGCGCATCCTTCGAGGAGCGCCCAGAGGGGGTTTCTGATCATCTCGGTTGGGATCACGGTCCTGACACCCCAAAATCCCAAGCAGCTGCCGCATAGCAGTTAGTCTTGCAAATATCAACCTGCATGCATAACTAGTATCCGAAACCCAAGTACCCTGAACCCTAGACCACAAAATCCAAGTGCCCTAAACCCTATCCCCAGCACCAGTTAGGTGGCACCCACCTGGCTTGAGCAAGTTGGAAAGGGATCAGAATGAGCAGTATCTAATTGTATCCCACTATATATCATATACATATATATATATATGGTTTTATATGTATAATATACCGTAAACCTAACCCTAAACAAAACCCTACAGCCGTATAGTCTAGTATTTCCCTGGAAAAAAGGCTAAACGCCACATGGAATCCGAGCCGGCCCGCGCCACGAGCTAGGTTTCTCTCACCTCTCATGCTCCTTCTCAAGGTTTAGATTTAGGGTACAGGGCTGAGGGTTTAGGATTTAGGGTACATGGGTTTCAGATGCTTGGGTTTAGTCAGTGAAACGCTGGGTTAAGGCATTTGCTGTGAGAGTGCACTTCTTCAAAAGAAGCCAGCTGGAGTTGATGAGACATTTTAGGCGGAATGAGCTCTGCCCCATTGTCAAGATCGAACCGGTGGTTGAACAGTCCTTGCCTCAACCGCAAGCCTTAAATCCTCAAAACCCAAACGCCAAGCCCTAAACTCTAAACACCCCCTAGCCTTGAGTGCAGTTTTTGCCATTTAGTTTTCAGGCCTGTCAATCACCGTCCGGTTAAGCCTGCGATCTCGCGATGACGTCCTAAGACGCTGGCGCGACCAAGAGTTTAATGGCTCTGATTCTGGTGCACATGGCAACCGCACTCACTTGCGTGCCGATGCACCTTGCGAGCATGCGCCGTGCGATCACTCGTATTGCCAATGACAGTACGACCATTTCTGGCGGAAGGCATGCCAGAGACCGAGTTGTGATCAGAGAGTTGGATTTCGCAGGTCGTGTTAAGGCTGTGCCCATCGTTTTCATTGTAGGGTGGGGCAGGGTTTAGCATTGAAAGAATTCTGTGGCTCGTAGACCGTATCAGAACTGGTTTAAGAGTTCAAACCGCCAAAAGGATTTCGGGTTTAGGGTCTAAGGTTCAGGAGTTTAGGGTTGATTGGTTATGTCGGCATCTAAAGCATCGCCATCGCTATGGACAGAATCACAGAATCCTTCAGTCCACCGCAACGACAACTTGAAGCCAGCGTTTCAGAAAGAGCCAATGGCCTTTGCTGATATTTGAAGACCCCGAGAGTCCAAGATGCTGAGGACATGGTCCTTTAGTCATCCCTGTGGCAATCTGACCCTCAACCCTAATCCCTAAACAGAGGCCCTCAACTATTGCAGTAGGGAAGTCTATGGAAGCTTCCTCAGCTCAAAGATCTCCGGGGAAAAGCTACTAGCTTGGATCAGAAATAGCCAGTATTCTGACTGACCGTTCCGGAGCTCTTGGAACTTGCACCTAAACCCTTAACCCCTAAACCTCACACCCCTAAACCCGAAACCCCAAGTATTGAAGTAGAACCCAACCCGACCGCCCCCCCCCCCGCCCCCCACGCGAGGGTCTTAGTGTCTGAGGGAAGTTGGGCTTCAGGGTTCAAGCTTTCAGGTTTCATGGGTTTAGGGTTTAGGGTGGCTCGCATTCCAATTCTAGGGTGGGGGCTGCAGTATGTAGGGGCTTTTGGGATAGTAAACCCGAAACGCTGTTCTGTGAAAACCACTCTAAAGCCGTCAGCCGCCCCCCTTCTTCTGAAGACCTTTGAGGCTACCCTTAACTTAGACCCTAGAGCCTTAAACCTTATTTCTGACCCAGAGCCCCTCAAGGATCCATTCTGTTATATCCCCTTCCCTAAACCCTAAACCCTAAACCCTAAACCCTAAACCCTAAACCCTAAACCCTAAACCCTAAACCCAAATGATGGTAGGCTCCCCGCGAGTCTCGCTGGGTTAATGTAGGGGGCCTAAATAATTACCGATGCCATTTTGGGGGGTTCCTGATTCTATCTATGGTAAAATATACCCCAAATCCCCATTCCAATTATTAAGGCCCCTGCATTAGCCAATTTTGTCTTTGGGGTTTAGGCTTTCGGGCCCTACCCGCGCCCCCCGTGTAGGAGCCCTAAATTGGGTAGTTCTCAAAATTATGGTCCCTTTTGGGGTACCCTAAATAATAGGTGCCGTATTATAATAAGGACCCAAAAAGGGACCATAATTTTGACAACCACCTCACTGGAAGGCCGAAGCCCTGCATGTGAAAGTGAACACCTGGCCTTCCACGAACCAGCACCCCTAACAGCCCTAACATTGGGGTCTGTGGTTTGGGCAAAAGGGCACGAGGGTTCAGGGTTTCAGGGTTTAGGGGCATAGAATTTGGGGCTTAGTCTAGGACATTTTCAGGTGGGTAGTTACCGTTATGGGAGCCTTAAAGAATGTCTATATACCTAGGGAAGCCTTATAGAAGCCCTATATACCCTAAACTCCCTACCTGTAGTTTCCTTTAAAACATACACCCTAGACTTAGACCCTAACCCGACGGCGCGGGTGGTTCTTCGGGATTTTGGTGAATTTCTTTAGGGCGGGATGTGCGAACAAAGACCCTACTTCATTTGTTACACAAGCCACCATGGGGATACAGGGTAAACAACTGGCTTCGCTTATGACAAAATACTACGTTCATTAACACCTAAACTCGTATAAACCTTTGCCTCCACGAAACCCATGTAACACAATTGTAGCGTTTAGGGTAAGACTTGTGGCACCCTGATGCAGTCCACAGAACCCTGAGTTCTACTCGGAACGCTCTTAGTATAGGGGCCTTAATAGTCAGAATAGGGTTTTGGGCCCCTTGATACCATAATCACAATAAGGAACCCCACGAGTTACTATAGGATTTTTTTTATTGAATCCGTAGAGCCCAGAGTGCCTGTTTCCACCGCGACAGAGCTCGACGAGTCAGCTGTGAAGTCCTTTCCGGAGTGCTTGTGGCCTAACTTGGGTTTAGGGTTTAGGGTTTAGGGTTTAGGGTTTAGGGTGCTTGTGGCCTAACTTGGGACCCCTTCAACACTATGCCCTAGACCTTGAACCCTAATCGCCAAGCCCTAAACCCTAAAGCCCAACCCAAAGCTTTCCACTTAAAGCCTAATGAAGCCTGAATGGAACCTCGCAGCACTGGCTGGGATTTTTAAAAATTTTTGTATGCCATGATACTATTTAGGGTTCTATTCTTGGGTACCCCCCATTCAAGGAAATCCCGTAACATGACTGTGGTCAATGTATGCGTTGACTAGTGCGGCAATCTTGAGTTGTCGGCTTGAGCCGTTACTTTAACTTACTGTTCAGAAAGTGCAACCTTTTTTCAGGACGGCGCTATCAATCGTGGGTTTGCACTACGTGGGTTCAGGGTTTAGTGCCGTACCATGCTTCTGGTCGATGATGTGACAGTAACACTGCGTCAAAACCTTCAGTCATCACGACTCTTCGTCCTAGTCCTGTCATGTTGCCTAGCTTGTTACCCGATCTTTTTCCAACCCTAAACCCCTTAAAGCCCAAGCTTCAAACCCTGAGTCGTAACCCTTACGCCCTGTCAGTCTGCGCATTTCGAAGACCAAACAAGCCTAAGCAAGCATTGTGTTTTCCAGGCCATGTGGCCTTATCATTGCATGCCGCACAGGCAGACGCCTGTTCCTGCATTTGTGCCTTCTAGTTTCTCCCAGTCTCGAAAGGTGCGGACAGGTTCATGGATCTCCAGCAAGTAGACCTTCCAGTTCGGTTTCAAGTGTACCGGGTATGAACAAATATGTATATATTATATATGCACACATGAACATTGCATATGTATATGTATATGCATATATGTGTATATATTTATATATGTATACATGCATAATTGTATATATGTATATATGCATATATATATATGCAGAAACTTTTCTATATATACATAAATATACGAATATGCCACTTTCAGTGCTGTTTAACGGATGCAAACGAAAGTGCAGGAGTCTTCAAAGATGACGACATGGTTTTGACGCTAAAGCTGAAAGATCGGCTGCTTCTAAGATGAGTTTCAGAAAGCGGTGGGTCCTAATGGAGAACCATCTCAGCTCTCCTTACGATCCCTGATTTCTGAAGGCGTCATTTCTGTTGAGGCAAGCGCGGAGAGGTTGGGCTTAGTTAAGGAGTGTTACCCGGGTTAAGGGCTTCAGGTTTAGGGTTTAAGAGCTAAAGCCCATGATGGCAAAAGCAACCTAAGTCTTATCCTAAACGACTGAACCTAAGCCTAAAAGCGCAAACCCTGAACCCATTTTGGCAGTGTTTCCTGCAGAGATCCATGCAACATTGGACGACCACATCCACGTGGTGAGGCAGTGTTTGTGTGCTGCGCGCGTGAAAACGGAGCATACCTGCCTGAAGTTGTGCATGACATGCTTTGGTCAGTCAAGGTTACGGGAATATGTGGTGTATGGATTGAGGGTTTGGGGCTTTGGGGCTTGGGTTTTAGGCTTCTACAGGGTGTGATTATATATATGGTAGAAAGACATGGGCCTGATCAACTAATCAGCTATGAAACAGTTTCTCGACGCGGTCAATCCACCCCAAACACCCATCTGCTTATGCAGTGTTTCAATCATACAGGAATCTCCCTAACACCGTAGTTCATTTTCAAAGCGCTATGAACGCTGGAAGTCTCGTTCGGCTAGAACCCTACACCCTAGGCTTCCAAAGTCCTCTTGACAGGACCGCGGCTGCATCCAGCTGGGCGCTTTCGGCTTCGTGGGTTAATTCAGTAGACTTTCGGGGCCTACAGGGTTTAGGGTTTAGACACTTCATAACAGAGTTTTGTTGTCATGTGACAAGGTAGGCACCACAATGGGAAGTTTTCATCGTTTTGCGTAATTACTTTTTATAGTACCCGAGATCTGGTGTCTTGAGTTCAACTGCCGAAGCATAGGAACCCCATTAAAACCCGAAAAGAGCCCTTTATAATGCTGGAGCCCTTATGAAACCAAGAGAAAGCCAGAGACAACCTCCAAATCCTTGAATGCTAAGCCACAACCACATTGACATTGTATCAACACACCTTGTAGAACCTGATTACAAATCCCTAGAGAAGCCTGCAGGCATAAAGCTTAAGCAGCAACAACCGATGTAGAAACCGAATCAAAACACCCTGGTCTTGTAGCAACAAAAATGTTGGGATCCATTCCTAAACCCTAAACCCTAAACCCAAAATATTGGGATCCATATTACAGAGCCCCAATTAGGAACCAAGGTTTCTCCGTCCGGCTCCTACAACCCTAAACCCCTAAAGCCCGATGATAGGCAGTGGGCAGACCACGACGACACCTCCTCCCGGGCAGCTTAACACGGACTGGGCCTGCCCTTTAGGGTTTAGGGTTTAGGGTTTAGGTGGTTTAGGTCTAGGAGTTAGAGTTCAGGGTGCATTTGGCGTTCTTCAGTTCTGAGGTGTTTGGGGGGGCAGATTAGGTAACTTCGTATGGTTTCGGTAGAGACTTTTGTTGCTTCGTAGGTCTGTTAGCTGTTTACCTCCCAAGCGTCATTTGGAGCGTTTGGGGGCCTTGGGCTTAAGATTTTTTGTCGTGAAGTCGCAGTAGCCGTCGTAGGGTGTGTAGGGCTTTGGGTTTAGGGT